CACTAGACATATCACCTCACTGCCTGTAAAAATGCCTTTGAAGAAGTGTGTGTGTGTGTGTGTGAGATGTGGGAATTGACACTGCATATGTAAGCAGAAAGAGAACACCAGACCCTGTGGGGTTTATTTACTAAAGCTGGAGAGTCCAAAATCAGATTTCCTACTGCATAGAAACCAATCAGCTTCTAACCTCAGCTTGTTCAATTAAGCTTTGGCAATGGAAGCTGATTGGTTTCTATGCAGAAGGGAGTCTGATTTTGGACTCTCCAGCTTTAGTAAATAAACCCCTGTATGTCTGATCTTTGAACAAGACCAGTTTCACCTGCGTGTTCCCAAGAAGATTCTGATCATTCTTGCCTAATCTGGAACATCTGATTCTAATGTTATAGATTTAAAGTGTTGGTAAATGTAGAAGTGTTCTCATTTTTTCCAAGCGACCGTCTGCATTTTTAGTTAAATTAGATTGCATACCCCATGTCATTTTGTGTGTAATTTGTTCAAGTACCGTATATCACCTTTATCCGTAGCTACTGTTTAAAGGAAGACCTGCAACATGTTTGAACAGGCAAAGTCAACAGTTTTTTTGGTGTTTAGCTATTTCAGATGACTGTACTCTTAAGGAGGGAAGAGCATTGAGAAGACCTTATCAGTATAGCCTTTTAGATGGATGTTTATCATTACTGTGATTTCAGGGATAGGTGGTTGAACAGTGCATGTGGCGGATGCTCACAGTTATAGGATTAGAATTTTCATTTGTTATATAAATTAGACTTTGAGCTTGACTTTTGCCTGGAGTGCTGCTTTTTAAATATTTATATGTGCCTGTTGGCCTATAAAGATTGATTAAACTGTCTAGGGTCTCACAGGACAATTTCTTTTGAACTTTTTGCCCCAATACATCAATGAGCTTGTGGGCATGCAGGTATTCGAAGGATGTAGGGAGCAGGGCTTGAAGTTACATTTTCTACTAGACTCAGTTGTAAGAGGCTGTTGACAGAACATATCTTTGCCAAAGTCTATATGTACATAGCTATAACCGTGCTCCTCGCCTGCCACGTAATTCTTGAGTCTGTCAATGCATTGCTCAGGTACTGGGCATTGTATTGTGGGATTGGGCAAGGGGGGTGTCAAAGCTACATTAAGAGGAAGTGGAGACCCTTCAGGGAAGCATTGGCTGGACAAAACCTAAAGCAGCTAATTTTCCAGTGGATCTATCAACTACTTCTTAAAGCTGTTCTTTTAGTAGTTTGCAGTTTCCAAGGTTTCCATTAGCCGGCTGTACTCCAAAGCATTTTGATAAGTAGTGGTAAAATGTGTTCTTTTTTGCAACATACTGTGTTGCAGTTCTGGTCATTTTGAATGGCACCCAAGTGCCATTCCTTTCGCATGGGTGTTCCATTTTTTTAATCGGTTCAGTCACTTTTTTTCAAAGAAAAAAAAAAAAAATTATCTGTTTTTTCATCAATTTGTCCGTTTTACATCAGTTTTTCGTCTGTTTTGCTTTTTAATAAAACAGAAATAGGGCTTTGATCTATTCCAAAAACGGATGTTGACAGATGTTTATGTAAACAGATGATTACATCCATTTTTTCCATAGAGATGGATTGATTTCCATTTTTCATCCATCTATGGATGGATGAAAAACAGACAAACGGAACGCCTGTGTGAAAGGGACTTAAGGGCTGGGAGGTTTAACTGCCTCCCACCCACCATATAAGGAAATGACGGAAGGGGGGCGGCGGCTCTCTCATTCCTGGAGGATGTCATATTACATCCTCCCACTTTAGCTGCTCATGCGCACCCCCGGGAGCACGCTGTGCGGTGCTCGGTGGTGCGCTGTGTCCCTAGGACACAGCAGATCACTGATCGCAGTAAAGAGCCAATGACACAGGCTCTATCATGTGATCAGCTGTATCCAATCACAGCTGATCACTTGTAAACAGGAAATCCCGGTTATCGACAGTCCTCATGCTGACAGCACGTGAGGTGAGGAGAGTCGGTATGCGACATTCCTCAGAGGGGACTTCTACACTGATCATCAGTACCCTGATAATCAGTGTAGCCCCATAATTTCCACCTGTCAGTGCCCATAAAATGCCACATATCAGAGCTGCCTTTCAGTGCCAGTCAGTGACACCTATCAGTGCTGCCTAACAGATTCCAATCAGTGCCATATATGAGTGCTGCCTTTCAGTGCCCATCAGTGATGCCTGTCAATGCCCACCAATGATGCCTGTCAATGCCTATCAGTGCCTTCTCATCAGTAGTGCCCATCACTGCAGCCTCATTAGCCCACATCAGTGCAGGAGAAAAATTACTTATTTACAAACTTTTAAAACCGAAACTAAGAAAAAGCTTTTTTTTCCTCAAAATTTTCAGTCTTTTTTAGTTTCTTTAGAAAACAATAAAAAACCCAGAGGGGATTAAATACCACCAAAAGAAAGCTTTATCTGTCTCAAAAAATGATAAAAACTTTGGGTACAGTGTTGCATGACTGCGCAATTGTAATTCAAAGTGCGACAGCACTGAAAGCTGAAAATTGGCCTGGGCAGGAAGGGGGTAAATGTGCCCAGTTGGCAAGTGGTTAAAGGGCCCAATCCACTAGCGCAGTAGATCTCAAAACAGCCTGGCATGCACAGCTTGCCCTTTTTAACCTTTTTTTTCACACTAAGGCTCTGTAGTAATGTGCAAAAAATCACCATTTTCTCCAGGACCATCAGAAGATCTTTAGATCCTAGAGACAATGTGAAAAAGGACACAGGTCCAAGTGCAATCTGTGTTATTTTTATTTTCTAACAATTCCCATATTCCTGTATTGTCTGCTTTCTGAGGAAGACATCTGACATCCATTTACACTAGAGTTTTTAGATGTGATTTGAGTTGCATAGAATCACGACAATGAAAACCACATTGTTTCAATGGTGCCTCAAAGCAACTCTGCTTGTTTTGAAAAAGGTGCCTGTACTACTTTGGTGCAATTTCAGAGTGATTTTGGCCCTACAGAATATGCAAGCCACATTCAAGTTGCACTACATATTTGCAGTGAAAATTGGATCAAAATTAGATTGCAGCAGTGTAAACCTAAAAGTTTCACATTTCACAGTACAGAATCCTTTCTGCAGTTTGAGGTTAAAGTAGAACTAAAGGCAGACCTTTTTTTCCATTTTGAATAAAATAAAGGAAGGTTATATAACCCCTGTAAGATTTATTTTTCCCATCTCTGTCCCACTGTGGAGATTTTCCTTCATTTCCTGTCCCATAGCCGAATCAGGAAGCAAGAAAATCCCTGTAAAGTGAGGGAATCCTTGGCTGTCCCCAGAATTAGTGTTACATGAGTTTAGGCACATCAAACGCTTGGGCATGAATTCATATTATTGGCCAGAATAATAATTTATTCTTAGCCTTAACGTGTGTTTAAAAGTGTTTACACATGTGTAGGCACGTCAATCTTTTATCAACTCAAAGGATCAAAGTCGTAATGATGAAACACCGCAGAGTGACATTAGACGCCATTTTGGATGAGGTCCGGTCCACATTGTTTGAAATAACACTGATGTACATCACAACCATGTAAGTGCTTTTCATCACATAAATTAGAATGTTTTTGACGTATTACGCGATGGTGTCTATTCTGTTTTGATTTGTACATATGGGCATTGTGACAGTACAAGAAGAGCGATATTGGCTACGGAGCAGTCGATTTGTGAAAAGCTGTGTTTGCTTTACTATTTGGTGGTAAGGTGCATGGTTTGGGAGGTGGTGGATTTTCTTATTGTAACACTCATTGGTGGTCATTGGTTTGTTATCGTGGGAGCACAGAGTGGCACGATAATTGTTGATAATACTACGCTATATGCAATTTAAATTCTGGAAGGAACGACTATTCAGAAGGAGTGATTTGGAAGCAAGAACGCACGAGTTGGGAATACATTTCAGCAAGTTATTCATATTTAGAGGGTAAGAGTAGGAATTACGGATATCACACGTGGAAGGACACGTGGTGGAATTTTTGCATGCTTTGAGCACTTTTTGTGAGTGTAGTTTAGTTTGATTTATATGATATGGCATAGTAATGCATTATGTGTGCTCTCTATGTGATAGTTTTTTGAGGGTTAAAAGAAGAAGTGGAAGATGTCACTTTATTAAGAATTTAAAGAATCCTGTAGAATTGTAAAGACACTGAAGGATACATGGAGTTGTTTTGCTTAGACGCTGAAAAAATATTTTGTTTTACTATTGAACCCCTTTTCACTGTCGTTGGTGACCAGTCTTCTGTGTTCTTCTGTTATGGGGCTTATTTGATCTTTCATAACCTTTTTACTATTAATATATTTGAAAACAGATTTTACTTACTGTAGCAATGTGTTTCTTCTATACTATATCCGCTGCCCTGATTGCTCCCTTGCACTTCTTGGAATACGATGACTAATGCACTTGTTTAATTCATCTCTAAAAACACTCCCACTGCCTTGTGTTCTTTTTGTTGCAAATATTTGGTCCCATTTAGTGTTGTGCAGTAAAGATAGCAGCCTTAACCACTTACCCTCCAGAGGATTTACCCCCCTTCTTGACCAGGCCATTGTTTGCGATACGGCGCTGTTACTTTGAAAATTGCGCGGTCATGCAACGCTGCACCCAAATTAAATTTATGTTCTTTTTTCCCACAAATAGAGCTTTCTTTTGGTGGTATTTGATTGCCTCTTTGACAAAAAAACCCCAAAACTATATTTTTGACTTTTTGCTATTAAACATATCCAGCAAAAAAAAATTTAAAAAACAGATTTCGTCATAAATACATGAAAGTTATAGTGTTTACAAATGGTGGTATATATACTGGAATTTTTAATTTTATTTATTTTTTACTAGTAATGTCGGCAATCAGCGACTTATTGTGGGACTGGTGGGCATTCTGACATTTGGGGGAACGGACTTGGTGTCACTGACATCCCCAGTGACACCAATACAGTGATCAGTGCTAATAAAAAGCACTGACACTGTACTAATGGCACTGGGCAGGAAGGGGTTAACATGTGGGGCGATCAAAGGGTTAACTGTGTGCTTTTTTAGTATGTGAGGTATGTGTGTGTTTCACTGTAAGCACACATACAAAGCAATGTACAGGAGCTGACGAGAGAGATCTGTATTGTTTACATACAGGTCTCTCCCCCGTTGGTAATACTCGGAGATCACCAGGTGCTGGTGAGGAATCACCGTCCGGGACCCGGTGATTGGCAGCCGAGGCCGCGAACCGCGGCACAGGTAGGGCACATGTGTGCCCCCTACTCAGGTCTGCAAAATCACGTGTGTGTATCTATACGGGATTTTGCACACCCATCCCTCCCTGTAGCAGTATTTCTCCTATAGGGCGGCGCAGAAGAGGTTAATGAAGTTAGGTGTAACCGATTGCAAAAATGATCACACCCTGATCACTATTACCCAAATTGTTTTTAACTTGCTCATCTGTAATAGGCTTTGTGTTTGAAATGAATAGATCCAGCAGAGTATTTTTCATTATTGGTTGTCTTCCACCATCTGTTCCACGAAATTGTCCTCCAAAATGTTTAAAGTAGTGTTAAACCCAGAAAGAAAAATGTAATTGCAGATTACCAAACCTTATATGAGCTGTCTGCATTAGTTTTCTTTAATAGGCCTTTTCCTCTTTATTTCACCAGGTGATTCAGTCAGTATTATACTTCCTGTACTAAACAGGGTATACACAGACTGAAATTGGACAGTTTCACTCTGTGTACACCTGTCTGGTCTACAGAAGCCAGTGGTTAGACCAGCATCTGTCCACTGGCCCTGCTGTAAAAACAGGATTCGATCAGTACTTGCAGGGCAGGAGTCTTAGTGGAAGGTATTAGTGGAAGAAATAGTGCCCCATCATTGGTATTAGTGGAAGGAATAGTGCCCCATCATTGGTGTCAGTGGGAGGAATAGTGCCCCATCATTGGTATCAGTAGGAATAGTGCCCCATCATTGGTATCAGTGGAAGGAATAGTGCCCATCATTGGTGTCAGTGGAAGGAATAGTGCCTCATCATTGGTTAATAGTGGGAGGAATAGTGCCCCATCATTGGTGTCATTAGTGGAAGGAATAGTGCCCCATCATTGGTGTCAGTGGAAGGAATAGTGCCCCATCATTGGTGTCAGTGGAAGGAATAGTGCCCCATCATTGGTATCAGTGGAAGGAATAGTGCCCCATCATTGGTATCAGTGGAAGGAATAGTGCCCCATCATTGGTGTCAGTGGAAGGAATAGTGCCCCATCATTGTATCAGTGGAAGGAATAGTGCCCCATCATTGTATCAGTGGAAGGAATAGTGCCCCATCATTGGTATCAGTGGAAGGAATAGTGCCCCATCATTGGTATCAGTGGAAGGAATAGTGCCCCATCATTGGTGTAGTGGGAGGAATAGTGTGCCCCATCATTGGTATTAGTGGAAGGAATAGTAGTGCCCCATCATTGGTGTCAGTGGAAGGAATAGTGCCCCTCATCATTGGTATCAGTGGAAGGTAGGAATAGTGCCCCATCATTGGTATAGTGGAAGGAATAGTGCCCCATCATTGGTATCAGTGGGAAGGAATAGTGCCCATCATTGGTATCAGAGGGAGGAATAGTGCCTCCATTGTTAATAGTGGGAGGAATAGTGCCCCATCATTGGTATTAGTGGAAGGAAATAGTGCCCCATCATTGGGAAGGAATAGTGCCCCATCATTGGTATCAGTGGAAGGAATAGTGCCCCATCATTGGCATTAGTCAGGGAGGAATAGTGCCCCATCATTGGCATTCAGTGGGAAGGAATAGTGCCCCATCATTGGCATTAGTGGGAGGAATAGTGCCCCATCATTGGCATTAGTGGAGGAATAGTGCCCCATCATTTGGTGTGTGAGTGGGAGGAATAGTGCCCCATCATTGGTATCAGTGGGAGGAATAGTGCCCCATCATTGGTATAGTGTGAGGAATAGTGCCCCATCATTGGTATCAGTGGGGAGGAATAGTGCCCCATCATTGGTATTAGTGGAAGGAATAGTGCCCCATCATTGGTGTCAGTGGAAGGAATAGTGCCCTCATCATTGTTAATAGTGGAGGAATAGTGCCCCCATCATTGGTATTAGTGGGAGGAGGAATAGTGCCCCATCATTGGTGTTGGTGGAAGGAATAGTGCCCCATCATTGGTGTCAGTGGGAGGAATAGTGCCTCATCATTGGTGTCAGTGGAGGAATAGTGCCCCATCATTGGTGTCAGGGGGAGGAATAGTGCCCCATCATTGGTGTCAGGGGAGGAATAGTGCCCCATCATTGGTGTCAGTGGGAGGAATAGTGCCCATCATTGGTATTAGTGGAAAGAATAGTGCCCCATCATTGTGTCAGTGGGAGGAATAGTGCCCCAGCATTGGTATCAGTGGATAGGAATAGTGCCCCATCAATCATTGGATTGATTTAGTGGAATAGTGCCCCATCATTGGTATCAGTGGAAGAGGAATAGTGCCCCATCATTGGTATTGAATAGTGCCCCATCATTGTTAATATGTGGGAGGAATAGTGCCCCATCATTGGTATTAGTGGGGAAGGAATAGTGCCCCATCATTGGTGCCCATCATTGGAGGAATAGTGCCCCATCATTGGTGATTCAGTGGAAGGAATAGTGCCCATCATCATTGGTGTGCCCCATCATAGGGTGGGAGGAATAGTGCCCCATCATTGGTGATAGTGGGAGGAATAGTGCCCCATCATTGGTGATTAGTGGGAATATAGTGCCCCATCATTGGTGATCAGTGGGAGGAATAGTGCCCATCATTGGCCCCATCATTGGTGATAGTGGGAGGAATAGTGCCCCATCATTGGTGATCAGTGGAAGGAATAGTGCCCCATCATTGGTGATAGTGGGAGGAATAGTGCCCCATCATTGGTATCAGTGGAAGGGGATTGGATATAGTGCCCCATCATTGGTATCAGTGGGAGGAATAGTGCCCCATCATTGGTGATCAGTGGGAGGAATAGTGCCCCATCATTGGTGATAGTGGGAGGAATAGTGCCCCATCATTGGTATCAGTGGAGGAATAGTGCCCCATCATGGGAGGTAGTGCCCCATCATTGGTGATCAGTGGAGGAATAGTGCCCCATCATTGGTATTAGTGGGAGGAATAGTGCCCCATCATTGGTTAGTGGGAGGAATAGTGCCCCATCATTGGTATTAGTGGAAGGAATAGTGCCCCCATCAATATTGGTATCAGTGGGAGGAATAGTGCCCCATCATTTGTATCAGTGGTGGGGAATAGTGCCCCATCATTGGTTCAGTGGGAAGGAATAGTGCCCCATCATTGGTGGCAGCAGGGAAGGAATAGTGCCCCATCATTGGTGTTGGTGGGAGGAATAGTGCATCCATTGGTTGGAGGAATAGTGTGCCCCATCATTGGTATTGGTGGGAGGAATAGTGCCCCATCATTGGGTATTTGGTGGGAGGAATAGTGCCCCATCATTGGTATCAGTGGGAAGAATAGTGCCCCATCATTGTATTAGGGGAGGAATAGTGCCCCATCATTGGTAAGCAGGGGAGGAATAGTGCCCCATCATTTCATTGTCAGTGGGAGGAATAGTGCCCCATCATTGGTGTCAGGGGAAAAATAGTGCCCATCATTGGTGATAGTGGGAGGAATAGTGCCCCATCATTGGTGATCAGGGGGAGGAATAGTGCCCCATCATTGGTGTCAGGGGGAGGAATAGTTCCCTATCATTGGTGCGAGTGGGAAAAATAGTGCACCAGCATTGGTGATAGTGGGAGGAATAGTGCCCCATCATTGGTGATAGTGGGAGGAATAGTGCCCCATCATTGGTGGCAGCAGGAGGAATAGTGCCCCATCATTGGTGTGTCGGAGGAAAATAGTGCCCCATCATTGGGATAGTGGGAGGAATAGTGCCCCATCATTGGTGATAGTGGGAGGAATAGTGCCCCATCATTGGTGATAGTGGGAGGAATAGTGCCCCATCATTGGTGATAGTGGGAGGAATAGTGCCCCATCATTGGTGATAGTGGGAGGAATAGTGCCCCATCATTGGTGATAGTGGGAGGAATAGTGCCCCATCATTGGTGTTAGTGGGAGGAATAATGCCCCATCATTGGTGATAGTGGGAGGAATAGTGCCCCATCATTGGTGATAGTGGGAGGAATAGTGCCCCATCATTGGTGATAGTGGGAGGAATAGTGCCCCATCATTGGTGATAGTGGGAGGAATAGTGCCCCATAGTGGAGGAATAGTGCCCCATCATTGGTGTTGGTGGGAGGAATAGTGCCCCATCATTGGTCTTAGTGGGAGGAATAGTGCCCCATCATTGGTCTTGGTGGGAGGAATAGTGCCCCATCATTGGTCTTAGTGGGAGGAATAGTGCCCCATCATTGGTCTTGGTGGGAGGAATAGTGCCCCATCATTGGTCTTCAGGGGAGGAATAGTGCCCCATCATTGGTCTTGGGGGGAGGAATAGTGCCCCATCATTGATGTCAGGAGGAGGAATAGTGCCCCATCATTGATGTCAGGAGGAGGAATAGTACCCCATCATTGGTGTCAGGGGAGGAATAGTGCACCATCATTGGTGCGAGTGGGAAAAATAGTGCACCAGCATTGATATCAGAGAAAGGAATGGTACCCCATCCTTGATATTAGTTGGAGAAATAGTGAGAAATTAGTTGAGAAATAGTGCCCCATCCTTGATATTAGTTGGAGGAATAGTATCTAATTGTTTATATCAATGGGAGAAATTGTGCCCCATCATTGGTGTTAGTGGAAGGAAAACTGCCCCATAGTTGGTGCTAGTGGAAGAAATGGTGCCTCCTTGTTGGTGTCATTGGGAGGAATAGTACTTCGAGGGTTGGATAGAGGCAAGCAAAGGGGCGCAGTTTGTAGACCACTGCTCTAGATAGAGAAGCAACATGGACACCTTTTGAACAGCACTCTCTGGGTAGAGGGGAGTGTTAGTTGCACTAGCTGATTTAGATAGACTTGACAAATTGAAGCTGAACACTAGCTAACACTTCACAAGCAGTTACAGCAAACTGTTTGTTTTTCCTTTTGTGATAATGCGTTTACTTGAATGAAAGCTGACCATT